CCCTGACGTTTGAACCAAAACAGATAAGTTTTTCAGTTTCACAAATCATGACAAACAGATAACAATTGGGATTCACATGATACGTGACGTAACCACTTATCATTTTTTTGGAAAACGAAAATATTTCTGTTCAAATTTCAATTGTATTAATTAACAAATTTCAAATCAATTTGCAAATCATTTCAAGCCAGCGCAGCAAAGAAAAAAAACAAAGTTTTACCCTTTGATTTTGATCTCATCCTTCCCCAAAAACTCAGTTTACCAAAGTTGAGAAACAGGACGTTTAGAATATTCGTGTTGATTCGTATCGTAACTGAACTGAACAGAATAGAATATTCTTTAAAAATGAATTATTTCCCGTGCAACCAAACATTTCAAAATTGGGTAAAGTTGTTAGATTAGGGAAACATACAAAAAATAAGAAAAAAAGGGGAAATATTAAAAAATCTACACAAAAATCACGACATTTAATAGGGCACCGTAACACGGCAACCTTTTCCTGTTAAAACTTCAACATGACATTTATTGTTAGACGACCATTAAAAAATACAAAATGTCATTTACAAATTTGGTATCATTTATCCTATTTATATAAAAATTTTTTTTGATAAATTAATTTTTATGTCTTTTAAACATGGAAAATATTGAAAACATTGTTATAAAAATTAATGACAGAGAATTCAATCAAATGCTTAATGTTGATCTAAAATTATCAAAAGTTCGTATATTTATCTTAGAAAATCCTGAAATTCAAAATTATATTGATTACGAAAATACTTTAATATTTCAACAACATAATGGTAATGATATTGATATAAATAAAGAAAACCAAGCTTTATCAAAAATTCTTGTTGGCAATGAATTATTTATTAATGCATCCAGAAATGATAAACCTACCGAAGAAGTTTCATTTCAAATTGAAGGAGTAGGGCGTCTTGAGGAGTTGCCTTTAAATATGAAATTGGACATAGTTAGATTATTTGTTTTAAATAAACGTTTAGGTTATGATAATTATTCATTTTTACATCCAATTTGTGGTGAAATAGGAGTAGATAGTGAATATAAATATACTTTAGAGAAAATAAATAATAAAAATAATAAAATTAATTTGATAAATTTAAGCAAAAAAAATGAACCTAATTGGAAAAAGTTAATTGAATCTTGTGAGTCTGGATTTAATATAGCAACAGATGAGGGAACTAAAAAAGCTCCTAGAAAAGCAATTACAATTATAAATCCCAAATCTGAAAAATGTGATAATCCAGAAATAGTGACATCCCTTAAAGATTGTAATGATGAACAACAAAATTTATATACACGTAACATAGGTGGCAAAATATTATCATCATTATTACCATGGTTGTCATTTTGTATTAGTTTAGAAAATTCAATTGAACTTGAAAAGAAACTGGACACAGTTACTTCATATTCAATTCAGAAATCAGAACGTGCATCAATTGAATTTACAAAATCAAATTATTATTTAAAACCTGAATTTGAAAAAGATGTTAAATCTGCAGTTGATCCAAAATTATTATTGGAAGAAAAACTTGAGAAACTTAAGGAAATCATTGAAAATTATGGTCAATTTATATCTAAAAAAATTATTTTTGGTGGTAAAATTATAAAACAACTTACAAGTGAAACAAATCAAGGTAAATTCAACCTTTTAATCTTATATATATATATATATTATTTTTTAAAAAATTAAAAAAATAATCATTACTAAAATTATTTGTTAGCTGGAAGGTTATATTCAAATACACAGAATGTTGAATTAAATATAAATCCTCCAGGAATTTTTGGTGCTGATGCATCTGCAAGTAGAACAAAATCAGTAAATGATATTACAAGATCAAGTGAAACTATATCATATAAACGTATAATAGGAGGAAATGGAAATGATGCTATTTTAGATGACTGGTATAACTCTCTTCGTGATCCTGACCAGTGGGGTATAATTGAATATGAAAATATTATACCTATATTTGAAATATTACCAGATGATTTAAAAAACCAAGTATTAAAAATCATTGGCCAAAAAATACTTGATGGTATGTAAATTACATTGCATTTTATTTTCTTATTATTATCTTAAAATATTTATTTCAGATGATTGTTTACTAATTTACATCTACATATGAATACATTGATATAAGTTAAAACTTGTGAAATTGTCTATGATACTTCAAAAAATAAAAATAAGGCTTATGTTCATAAATTAGTGCATAATATTTCAGATATTGATAAATGTCAAATATTTTCAACAATAATGGAAGAAGATGAAAATGGGAAGAAAAGTGAAAATAAAAATTTATTTAATACTAGAATTGAATATATTGGGAAAAAAAGTCCTGTAATTGTAATTCACAAAATTAATGAAAACAAACCAAAAGATAAACATATCTTAAAAATTAGTTATATAATTGTTGGATATGGCTTTAGATCTAAACCTGGGTTAGATATTAGATTTATTGGTGAAGAAAAGCAAGTTAAACGTGATAACAATAGATTTATTGCAGAAATTGAAAGACCAACACATGAAGCATCAATAATTGGATCTTGTGTGATTAAATCATATCACAAACCAACTAATCCAGAGGATTCAAAAATTATCAGTTTACATTTCCATCCATCAGATAAAAAAGTCTGTATTCACAGTTATGACCTTAATACCAAAGAAATAATTGAACCCTCCTCAAATGATTGTTATATCCATTATAGGTAAATATATACTCAATTATTTATATTTGATAAACAAGCCTTTAAAAATAAATATTAACTTATTATTATAATAAAAGTACAATTGAATATTCAGGATCTGATGAACCTTATGGTAAAACAAAGCTCACTTTTAACAATGATAAAAATTTTTTTAAAAATGATAAAAATTCTCTGTGGATAAAATATGACAACTGTACACAAAATCAGTCGATTTTTATGAATCTACTGTTTGATTGTAATGACCAACCAGTAGTAAAACCAGTAAAACCAGTAAAACCAGTAGTAAATGTAGTATTTAAACCTAATGTTATATTTTCAGCACTTTGTGAAAAAACTTGTATTTCAAATAATGACGTTTTGAGCTTTTTAAAATTATTAATTGATAATGAAAAACAATCCACAGGTGCTTCAAAGTAAAAGTTTTTTATTTTCTTATAATGAAATCAAAAAAAAAGGCGTATTAAGTATTAGCTGTATTTATTTTAATTTAATTTATTCAATATTATCCTTGTATTAATAATAAATGTATAATTTAATTTCACGCGTGAATTTAAATTTTGAAATATTAACACCTTCAGAATATATCAATATTCTTAACCTATAAGCTTATTATATCACCCACTGTAATTTTTATTAGATGCAATTTTTATATTTTTATATGATGTATTTCAGTGATATTGATAATATTTGTTTTTTAATCAACAAAAATACAAATTTTTTGTAAAATTTTCATATTTAAATGTGAGTTTTTTTACCAATAGATACATGAACCCATATTCATAAAAAAATTTAACAAAGAAAATAATTAAAACTTTAATAAATGATTCAATACATGAGAAAAGAATTAAAATCCAACAGCAACAAAAAGAGAAGAGGTTTTGTATAATTCATTGATATTTTGCAGTGTTGGGAATTGGACTTATTGGACTGGCAATTTTGTCAATACCGCAATTTTAGTTAATTAGTATATTTGATAACTTAAAATGGTGGTAATGATGATATGGAGTTTATTTCACAATTTGTTGCTGAAATAAACAATATAAAATAAAATCCAAATATAATGTTGCTCCGGTTAGATCAAATTTCAACGGAATCACAAATAAACTGGAAATATTTATCAATGATGTGATTGATTGATGAAGTAAGAAATAATGAAGAATTACCTTCATTTATTGGAGGTGCTAGTCGAGATCACACAATTATTTCTAGAAATAAGGATGTCATTTTAATGATAGTTATTATCAAGTAAATAATTTTGAGTGGTGATAAAGTGAGACAGGGACAAGGATAAGTATGAGTAATGGAGTTTCAAATAAAGAAGATAGTAGTATTAATATTGAAGAGCGTGGCGAATAATGTTGTTTCCAAAACTAGAGAGTTTCGCAACTGTGCGAAAGTCAAAAGGTTTCGCCATAAGTCGAAACTAATTTTGGCCTTTGACCTTTGACTTTTGATTTAGTTTTGACATATAAATTTTAATTTTAGTTTTGACTTTCGTTTCTTCAAAATAGTTTCGGCAACCAATCCTAATGGCGAAGGAAGGGCTTAGAAGAGTGGGTGCCAAACGACATCAATGGATTATCTGCGAAAATTTAAATCTACAAGGAATAGCTTGACACAGAGGAGCAAAACGTGTGAATTTATAAAAATGATAATAACAATTATATAGATTTATGAACATTAATAACAACAACAATAATGATTTTCTTTTTTTTTCTTTTAGGATACGATTACTTATGCGGAACATGAAAAGCTTAATACAATTGTTGTGCGTGAATTTGGAATCTGCGTCAATTTGAAAATTCACGCGAGTGAAATTCAAATTAGCCAATCAGAATTTTGTATTCAAACGCCACCCAAAATTAATATTCAAATTGCACAACACAATCATTCACATCTATGGATGTTGGTAAGTTGGTTCGCAGCGTATTGTTATATATCATATTATAAATCCGTTAATTACCTTCGATCATTATTAATTAATTAAATTCTAATGATTCAACAATGAAAGAATTTTAGCATTATTTTTTTGTTTCTATTTTATCATTTTTAAAACTTCAAAATTAAAACTTATAAAGCCTGTACTTTGCTTATTATGTAAAAATCATTGGTTCTATGTACCAATATTGACAAGCCTATGTGTTTCCAATTCAGGCACTTAAATACAGTTTTATTTTATCGTGCGTGTAAGTCAAGAATCGAGCTAACACAACTCGTGTATATATAAAAGGTACAGATACCAATATTGACCTGCCTATGCGCGTTTCAAACTCAGGAATCGCATTTTATCTTGAAACTAGCGAGTGTTAACAACAATTAGTAACTTAATGTGCTTTAGTAAATAAGCACAGGTTATGACCAACGTTAGTTAACTAGTGGGTGTTAATAACGGTTAATGAAGTATTGTCTAAAGGTTAATGGTAATGTTACTATAATCGTGATAAACAAGCTTGCTTAAGTTGCTTTGTAAATAAATCAATGCGAGTTTGCAATTTGCCAAATAAATGGATAAACAATTGAAATAAGCTGGTCATAAATGAATAAAAGGAACTTTTTAGAAGCCTTTGCTGTAAAAGAGCATTATTTATTTATTTTGAAAGATTGGATTTGAAAAATCTATTTTTGATTGATTAATCAAGTAAAGAATTTTTAATAAATTAAAGATTTGTCAAAGCTTTCTAGGCACAAGAGGCAATAATCAAGAACCAAGGTAAATTCGCAAACTTATTAATCTAATCATTGTGAATTACTTGACAAGAGTAGCCCAAAAAATATGCCATGATCAACCATACATGTTACAGTAAATAATAGGCGTCAACTGAAATGCTACCTTTGAAATATCGTCACAAGAATTAAAAACTGTAAAAAGTTTATTATTTCAAAATAATTTAACTTTTAAGAAATAAAATAAAGATAAAATAAAAAAGATAAATAATTATAATGAATAAATTTATAGTGAAGATTAAATTAATCATTCATCAATTCTTTCTATTATTAATGTTATAATAATTAAATGGGTGGTAATTTCCAAATGATTAATAATGAAATTTTTATTCATCTTCAACATTTCTTTAAAAAAAGTTAATATCAACACTATTTAATGAAATTGTATAAATTTCTAAGCTTTTTGATTTTAAAATTTCATCATCTAATATTCTACTTGTGTGATATGCGCCTGGATGTGATTTATGTACTAGCTGTGAATTGCTACCACCACCACTGCTGCTTTTCAAACTTTCATATTCAAGAATTTCTCCTAATTTATTATCAGCAAAGTTCCAAAGCTCTTCAATGGTTGGTCTTTTTGATGGATCCACATCCCAACACCTCTGCATCATTTGCACATAATCATCAGGCATTCCAGGTAGT